GGAAGGGGGGAATCGAAGTCTAATGATACCCAAGGACGCCCCATCCCCAACCTTTCGTCCTTTGACAAACTCTCTAAGATCCTTCAATGACATAATCCTCCAAGACCCCTCTTGATGAATATTGATCTCCATCTGAATTAGGGGCCATGCCTGCCAAGGTGCTATGATTCCATAGCCGATATTTTAGGAGGACAACTTGTCAAATATGAAGTTCTTGTAATAAATAAGATGCATAAGAATGAGCCAGAACTTTGTTATAAATCTCTCAGAAAAATAAACCATTAATCAATAATTAATTCGGGTGAATTTAGTCCATGTGCAACCCTTAATGCTGATATTATGTGGGCCGTTTATAGCCTATGCAAAAGAAATGATTTGATACATCAATACATTTAAATGCTTCGCCATGTTGGTTATTTGCAGGTGCACGTTTACACAGCTGTTAAATGGAAAGAAACTTTACATCATAACAGTGCAATTATAGCTACACACAGTACACGTATGCACTTATCTATTTTTTTCTTTCAAAGCTCCTTGCTCCAAGACAATTATATTCCTGCAGGCTTACAACTGCTGTTATTTATTTTCTTTATCAGCGTCTTTGAGCGAGATAGACATACTTATGCCTACAGGTACAGGTGGGAAAGGTCACGAGCCAAAAACACGTGGAAAATGGCGTAAGACTTCCTTGCATACAAGACTTCAGCACGCGGTGAGGCTCCCGCCTGAAACAACCAGAAAACGTTTTGTCAGACTATTTTTCTAAAACCTGTTTCCAGTCGAGAAGAGTCGGCCTAAGTCAAACTGGCCCATCTCTGTGGACCGTATGAAATACGATTAGGATTCAGAAACCATGGGACCCCGTTCTAACGGCGCTCGACTACGCTTAATCGCCAGAGAGAGGTAATTGATATCGATTATATGACACTGCTAGACGGAAGCAATGTCCAAAAGATCCAGTCGCGGTAGTGCGTGCGCGTGCACCACGCACGAACCCGAGATAGTTTAAGTCTGCTTTTTCTTCTTTTTTTTTACTTTTCGTCATTTCTGTCATATTATGTATGCCATTGTTGCATGGTTATCCTTTGAGAAACATTTGTATGCTTATCCGTAGATTAGCACAACATGCATACAGTGAAAAAAACACCCAGGCGCCTAAGTTCAAATGAAGACTGTTCTATTCCTGGAAATAATAGATATGCATGTGTTTTCAATGATTTTCCCTGGAAATATTTCATGCCACAAATGGTTTCTACCATTAAGCAAAACTGATTGGAATAATTACCCTTGAAACGTCCACCCCGATGGTTTCGATGCTTTTAACACCTTCAAGAAACCATCCATATTCATGTGTTTATCGAGGAAAGTTATCAAGAAATACTCCATACCCCGAACGTTTTTCACCCTCGGGGGCCAAAACGATTCAAATAAATAAGTCTTCTGCATTGGTCAGATTCTGGGAGATTGACCTTTAAATAAGGGGAGCGCTCATGATTTACATCGCCTCGGTGTGGCGAACGCAGCCCCCAGTGATAAAATTTAAGTAGGCAGTGCAATGAAGCGTATTAACCGAGTGTCTGATTAATCGCACCACACGGGACGCTGTACGTTGTACAATTTACGATTCTTAAGAACAAAGCGCGCAAGCGGGATCTATTTTAAAAATACGTTTCCTGGTTCGGGCTTACATGTGTATATATATATATAGACACGTGTAGAAGGTGAAAGACTCAGTTGCAGCGCCGTCAGTATACATGTTAAGACCACGGATACCCGATGACAGCCACACAGAGAGACACGCAGAAGGGCAGGAGTTAAACGGTGCGTGAAGTCACGTCTCAATCGATGTGACAAAGGCAACTTTAAGTTCGTGTGACTGTGCGTTGCGTGACAACAGCGATCCTTTAAACCCTACGCCATAAATCTACTGTGGTCGACCGCGAGACAGTTATAATCTATACAAAAAAAGGCTATTTCCATCTCAATTCAACAGGATGTCGCTCAAAAAAATAATAATGGGTGAATACTAATAGGTGACATTATAACAACAGGACAGGCAATGAGAGGAACGGCCCTGCGGATGTAGTACGTTAAGTGGGTAAGTGGAGAAAATAGCTTACAATTTCGCTGTGGTAGTACTGTGTACTCCAAACGTGTATCACGGCGATTTGACTGTTCGCTCCAGTATCATTGCTGGTGTTATTAGGAAAACTAAGGTGTGAGGTGTGAACCTGTTTCGGTGCCGCCTTAACAGTGCGTGGTGAGTCGGATTCGTCAATTTCATTTCTCATTGATGCATGTAAGCCTCAGATTGTAAAATTCATTTATCGGAAAATTACAGTAAAGCACAGTATTTGGTACAGTTAAGCACAGGTATTTGGTAATCGCTTTGTTATGGATATTTTGGTAATTTCAGTAAGTAAAAAAAACTTCTAATTTTGCACCTGATACCACGACTGCAGTAAGTAGGTAAACTGTTACACGTCGTTCGGTTTCACAGTTACTCATATTTAACAACATGACAAAATAATAATTTCATCCTGATAAATATTGCCCTGGTGTTGCGCTGCGGGCTGTGAGCTATGCGCAAATCTAGAGGTATACTCATCCTTCATCGTAGGCAAATAATGAGGATGAATCAAAATCTAGTCTGAAATTGTAGATCATTAAAATATTTTAGCCAGCACTTAGATGTTGGCGTTGGTGCCGCCGTCTCTGCTGCTGCTGTTACTGCCGCTACTGCTTCTGTCTTCACGATTTTTTGAAGACCTACTCAGTGATATGTTAAAGAGTAGAACGTTCTTTGACAGGTATGTGCACATTACTAGTCATAGCATTTCTGCGTTTACTAGTCATTGTTAGATCCGACAAAGGTCACCATCGTCACTTTTAATATCTCATGTACATGTATACCTGCTTGTCGGAACTGAAACAAAATGAGGATTATGAAGATTAGAAAAATAAGAAAGCGCGGATCAGATCTTCAGTTCACGGTAAAGATTTGTCAAAGCTCAAATACAAATATGACACCGAAAACCTTTTGCTTTGACAGGCAATCATGAGCGAAGCAGTAACACGGGGTAATACTGAGCTATGTGNATCGGAATAATTACCCTTCGAAACGTCCACCCCGATGGTTTCGATGCTTTTAACACCTTCAAGAAACCATCCATATTCATGTGTTTATCGAGGAAAGTTATCAAGAAATACTCCATACCCCGAACGGTTTTCACCCTCGGGGGCCAAAACGATTCAAATAAATAAGTCTTCTGCATTGGTCAGATTCTGGGAGATTGACCTTTAAATAAGGGGAGCGCTCATGATTTACATCGCCTCGGTGTGGCGAACGCAGCCCCCAGTGATAAAATTTAAGTAGGCAGTGCAATGAAGCGTATTAACCGAGTGTCTGATTAATCGCACCACACGGGACGCTGTACGTTGTACAATTTACGATTCTTAGGAACAAAGCGCGCAAGCGGGATCTATTTTAAAAATACGTTTCCTGGTTCGGGCTTACATGTGTATATATATAAAGACACGTGTAGAAGGTGAAAGACTCAGTTGCAGCGCCGTCAGTATACATGTTAAGACCACGGATACCCGATGACAGCCACACAGAGAGACACGCAGAAGGGCAGGAGTTAAACGGTGCGTGAAGTCACGTCTCAATCGATGTGACAAAGGCAACTTTAAGTTCGTGTGACTGTGCGTTGCGTGACAACAGCGATCCTTTAAACCCTACGCCATAAATCTACTGTGGTCGACCGCGAGACAGTTATAATGTATACAAAAAAAGGCTATTTCCATCTCAATTCAACAGGATGTCGCTCAAAAAAATAATAATGGGTGAATACTAATAGGTGACATTATAACAACAGGACAGGCAATGAGAGGAACGGCCCTGCGGATGTAGTACGTTAAGTGGGTAAGTGGAGAAAATAGCTTACAATTTCGCTGTGGTAGTACTGTGTACTCCAAACGTGTATCACGGCGATTTGACTGTTCGCTCCAGTATCATTGCTGGTGTTATTAGGAAAACTAAGGTGTGAGGTGTGAACCTGTTTCGGTGCCGCCTTAACAGTGCGTGGTGAGTCGGATTCGTCAATTTTATTTCTCATTGATGCATGTAAACATCAGATTGTAGAATTCATTTATCGGAAAATTGAGTAATACAGTTAAGCTTAGGTATTTGGTAACCTCTTTGTTGTGGATATTTTGGTAATTTCAGTAAGTAAAAAACTTCCAATTTCGCGTACGATACCACGGCCGCAGTAAGTAGGTAAACTGTTACACGTCGTTCGGTTTCACAGTTACTCATATTTAACAACATGACAAAATGATAATTTCATCCTGGTAAATATTGCCCTGGTGCTTCGCTGCGGGCTGTGCGCTGTGCGCCAATCTAGGGGTATACTCATCCTTCATCGTAGGCAAAATAGTGGCAAATAATGAGGATCAATCAAAATCTATCCTGAAAATGTAGATCATTAAAATATTTTAGCCAGCACTTAGATGTTGGCGTTGGTGCCGCCGTCTCTGCTGCTGCTGTTACTGCCGCTACTGCTTCTGTCTTCACGATTTTTTTGAAGACCTACTCAGTGATATGTTAAAGAGTAGAACGTTCTTTGACAGGTATGTGCACATTACTAGTCATAGCATTTCTGCGTTTACTATAGCTAGTCATTGTTAGATCCGACAAAGGTCACCATCGTCACTTTTAATATCTCATGTACATGTAAGCCTGCTTGTCAGAAGTGAAACAAATATGAAGATTAGGAAGATTAGAAAATTAGAAGGCGCGGATCAGATTTAAATTCGCAGTAAAGATTTGTCAAAACTCAAGTACAAATATGACACCGAAAACCTTTTGCTTTGACAGGCAATCATGAGCGAGGCAGTAATACGAGGTAATACTGAGCTACGTGTCATAAATGATACCTATAACATATAACTGAGCTCCCGGAACTTTAATTACTTATGAATAAACATCTGTTAACGCATTCTCCACTTTAAAAAAGCTTGATCGACTTTTATGTGCTATCAGAGCAAAAATAGCATCAGAATTCTTAAAACTATCAGCGAAAACTGATAAATATAATGACTTATGTGCACATACATTGCACCTGTCAGAGACCTCTTTTTGGGTGGCTTAAAAGACCACTGGGAAATCATGCATTGATCTGTGGTTATTTTGTGAGTAAAATGCTTACACTCTTGTTAAAAACTATGGAATATTCAAGTAGAATACCAATGCTTTGATCATCGCAAAAAGGCCAAACAAAGAAAAATGCATTTATCAGCCAACTTTTCACTTTGAGAGAGAAAAAAATATATATTGTACTTATCTCTTAAAGCTAACTGGATATAATATGAATTGCAACTGCACTCGTTAGTGAGGAAGTTTAAAGTGTAATTAGTTTAATGACCATTGCTAAAGTCAGGCACATGGGCATTTTAAGACTCTCCCAACGACACTGAGATATATGAAAACTGAGGCATACTTTATTACTTTTCGAAATATTCCATATGTTTTAGCAAGAGCGCATCAAATTGACTTATTTCATCGCATCTGTGCGTTGCGAGTTCAATACTGAATAAACCAAATTGCTTATTGATACACAGATTCAGAACAGTGGCCCATTGGATAGAATATTTATTTCCACACCACTTAATAGCATTCACCGGGCACATGGCAATCAAGTAAACTATATACAATTTTGGTGTATAATAAGGTCAATTCCTAAAATATTGATTTAACCCAAAGCATCAGGACAAATAAAATACATTTAAACTTGTGTCGTAAACACAAGACAACCCTTTACCTGCATGACTGAACAATTCAAAACAGTTTATTTCTATTAAGAACCTTAAAATATTGACACATTGTCACTATTTGATTGACCTTGGGGGCTGGGGGCTAAAAAATTCTGTCGTACATGTATCTGGATATCAGAAAGGAGCGCCAACTGTAAAGAAACATTACATAAAATAGTGTCGCATGCGTCTTTTTTGTTTTGTTCCTGTTTAAAAAGGCTCGGTGAAAAGTGTTGCAATTTAACGTTTTTGTTGATAAAAGCTAAACGGAGTGATTGTATAGACCGATTGTACGGAAAACGATTTGACCTCTTTGTATGCAGTACTCATGTGCAGCCACTACGGGGATTCTTTGTGATGCGTGCCCAGGTAATAGAAAAAAAATCAATAAACCGAAAATAACACTTTCATCCCCAAACCGCTGATATGGCATCACAAGCAAAATGACCAAACTTTATCTGAAGACAAGTGAATCCCATGAAAATTATATGATAATATATAAACAACCAGAATCATAAAGGGGTTTATAGACTGGTTTTGGCTAACTGGGAATATGTCCTTAACTTTCAATGTTTCGATAGTGTATAAGTACCACCTGGGGCCTCTCACCACGTCGTACACCTTTTAATTGCCTTGGCTGTCATAAGGCTTTATTTATGTGTATTCTCTATAGCATGGAATAACCCTTAGGATATGGTGCCAAAACTTGAGTAACGATTCAAATGTAAAATGACTGTTTCAACATCACCTCAAACGACAAACGCGCACCATGTTGCTGCGATACATTCAGGTGATGCAATGTGATTACTAGAGTGTCAGAACCAATTTAAACCAATCTGGATCCCATTCCATTGTGTAGAAGACTTTTTGAAGCCATCTTGTTTTTCTTACGCAAAATGTTAGCCAGCTGGTCGGTGTAATCTGAAATGGATCGCCCGCATGTTTTTGTTGTTTCCAGAAGAAACGTTGTAACTCTTTTCACGCGGCGTTGTGTATAATGGAAATAGATGTTGTTTTTCTTGGGGGATAATTACCTTAACAAAGAACAGGCTGTGTGTGTAAACTATGTTTAAGTATAATGTTCTTTGTATTTAAGTATAATGTTCTATGTTTTCTATTTATTTATTATTTATTTATTTATTATTTTTTGATAATAATTTTTTGTTGATAATAACACCTGTTAAAATGGTATAAAACCCACGGTCTTCACCCTCAGTGAAGCCTAGTGCAATTCATCAACAGAGTAAAAAAGGCGTTCAAAGAGGAGTATCATCCGGAATATATATATTAGCATGGTTTTATTAAAAGGGGATGGAAACTCATAGTGCGTGGGGCTGTATCTTGGTCTGCCCTTGACTCTTTCCTTCCTGCTGTTCCGGTTCATGACGCAAACAACCACCTTTTCATTCCTGTCATGCTTCTAATTTCCCGACTTTCTTTGCTTAGGACGTCAGAAATAGGTTGTGCGCTCAATCTAAAATGTACGTGTCTGCCATCTCCGCCCCCCCCACCCCCCCCCCACCCCCAAGTTGAACCAAACTATTACACCGCAGTTTTTTAACATAAATATATGCAGCTTTTGCATGTTCAAAACAATAATTGACTGTAGAGAATTTCTCATAAATTTATACAAATTACATGGCTTTATTACTACGGGTCAATAGGCCGCCAAGTGCACGTCAATGTACGCACATTCAGTATGTGCATCCTTTTTTTTTAAATTAATTTAACTTTCCGTGAACTCACCACGAACAATAATAAATTATTCAGATTATTTGACGCATTTAGTAGATTAAAGTATGGGATTGGTAGTCTTCGTTTAGAGAATCGATTTAATAAAAAAGGGAGCATTAAGCTAAAACTACGGGGCTTCACTCTCTAGTGTACGCTTGATTGGAATCAGCCGTTACGTAAGCCCAGCCACTGGTCATTGAGCTGGCCATTCAAGTCAAGGACGTAATAGGAATAACATGGCGGAGGGGGGGGGAGGGGTATCTTATACCTCTCGGTGGAACAAATATTAGTAATACGTTCTAAATACGACCGAAGTTGCACTATCTGGTTCGCGCAGTGCCAATTGATATAATAACTTCCCGAAGGAGTGCTTTTTAATAAAGTACAGCGTATGTGTCGTCACAGGTGGTGTTCCTGAACTGAGGATATGGCTCTTGGTTGTTGTGTTTCTCGTTAAAAAGAAACAAACCTGGGCCATGAATTCAAAATACTCATTTAGTTCGCGCGAACAGCATCTAAATTACATGATCCCCTCGGGACAGTTTCATTTACATAATTGGATATATATGTCACGACAGCAACTTGTGCTAAACATATGTGCCTTTGATCTAGAACCACTGAGTTTAACACTGGCATTCGATAAAACGGAGCCCTTCCCTGAAATACGTCCTTCATCAATAATGCTTATCAACTTTAATTGTTCACATATGTTTGAACTCTTTCCCGGTCCATCAGTCTCTGACATAATCCAATTTCCCGTAGAGAACTTTATTTGCCTTGAACGCCATTAGTTCGATTGAATCATTCCGTTGGATTTACGTAACGGTCAAAGCACGTTTTAAACTATTTCCTTAATTGTTCACCGCTCTGAAGTGATCATTAAATTCTTTGCATGTTATTATGGAATGAATACTTCTACATTATAGTCTAATTCTATTCCAATATCAGAGCGGACCTTTCATTGGCGACGTACATAATGCGTACAATACCGCCTTGGGTTGTCTTAATTGCTTGTCCAACGCTTGGTCTGCGGCTACCATTGTAATTAACTAATTTCACACGCACTCTCTTCTAAATGCAATGAACATTAATCAAACGTGTCGCTTAAGATCACAATTAATTCAAGCAATGCGCTCGATTTAATTAACGCAGATCCATGCTGTATTGATTTGAGAACTCGTTAGAAAATAAGCAATCATTACAAGATGGCTTTTCTGTGAAACGCTTACTTTGAAATCCCAAAGGGCATGCAATATTCCAAAAGACACTTTATACAGATACACTTATAATTCCAAAACGAATTATCTCCAGTGACATGTGTTAGTGATGTTGCATAATTCGTATTTCTTTGTATTTTCAGAGTATAAAAATGCACTGACGCTACAGTGGTCGACCTGGAAGGTGACTCTGCTGCTTATGACAGTGAACTAAACCCATTTGATATCGAGATTGACTAGGATCGGGTTAATCATATTCCAGCCAGTATCTTAGAAAGAGCGTAGGCGGTGGATTTCCTTCACATCAAAGCACCAAGTCATACCGTCTACCGTGATAAAGTCAATATCTTCTAAGCTAGACATCTTTTAAGTTTATCCAGTGTCCAAGCATTATCATCAAACATGGCAGAGTGCATAGGCGATCAGCATTTTGCATCGGACTGGGATTTTCATAAGTTTTCTTTCGAGAATTACAGCAGCGACGACTTCGAGCTGGAAAGCTCAGAGATGCAAAGGGCGTTCGAAATCTACCAGAGCTGGAACAATACAGAATCCGATGTTTTGGAAGAAGAGCACCATATGTATTACTTCATTCCGGTCATTCTGTGTGTCGTTGGTGTCATAGAGAATATTATTTCACTTGGCGCCATTGCTCACGTCAGACAACAAGGAGACACAATGTATCATATCTTAGGAAGTCTGTGTTTCTCCGACGCTCTGCTCTCTTCGGTAGGGGCAGCGTTTTTTGCTTTGCACCAAGGCAAGGGAATGTTAACACTGTCGACGGTTTGTTTGACTAATGTCATCCGTCTAGTAATGCTAACCAGTATATTTGTCGGTGCTTTGTCCACCGTATGCCTGGTTATATATACAACACTGAAAGTGCTAAGACCACTGAAAAACCTCTACCTTCTCTATTCGCCGAGAATTTGGGTACTCTTGGCTGCGATATGGTTGACATCGCTCGTCCTCGGTTTTGGAACATACATTAAAGCTGCAGGCGACGCGAAACTTCTGTCTTACACCTGTGTATGCATCGCATACGGATTCGACAAGAAGAACATTTATATAGAAATCGGTATCACGACGGGTATTATAGGGATCACCCTGGTAATCGTGGCTGTGTGCTATGCCAGAGTTCTGTACATAGCTCAAGCTGCCAGGAGAAAAAGTGCCTTGTTGTGTTCCAACGAGGGCTTTAATTCGTACAACGGAACAAATGGCCGCCACGGGGCAGTCGTGTTACAGAACTCAGAGTCGGAGCCGCCCAAAACCTCCCTGAGGAAGACTACTGGTAATGGCGCCAAGAAAAAGAAAACAAAGGGACCTATTGAGCGCAGGCTAAAAGTGGCTGTGACTGCAATGCTGCTCTATGGAGTATTGTTAGTGTTCTGGCTGCCGTACGTGGTTGTGAATTCAGTAACCTCTGCCGGGGATCTCACCTCTGAAGACAGCGCTTGGTACTCTTACATCGTGACCACCCTCTTCATCGTGAACGCTATCATCAACCCGCTCATTTACGGATTACGGCTTCGGCGCATGCGCGCAGGCTTCGGGACGATGTTTCGAAGAATTGGAACCGCGTGTGGCATCTCCATGCCAACTGAACGCACGAGCTTAAGATCAACGCAGATGGGCACGCAGCTAGCTATAGCTCCACGCAGCTCTGTCACCACGTATTGTCCCAACTCTGCTAATAATTCTCCTCAGATTCGGCGGGACATGATTAAGTGACGGAATCTTTGAAATTTTCATTGAGAGATGTTGTCGTTGGTGTTTCCTTCTTTTTGACGCTTAAATGTTGCTTATAATAAAAATATAGTTAAAGTTTTATTTTAATGTTCGTCTACATCATAGTTGACTCTGTCACAAAAAAGGGCCTCATGTAACATGCTCAAGTTTAGCATCTGAAGGTACCTAAAATTCGAATTTCTCATTACCGCGTACATCCTTTGTTTATAAATATTAAGTTTGAAAAGACAATAAGTCTACAATCCGATGCATAAAATACGAGTATGTTCCATGACCAACAAGATCAGTTGCGTCGAGAAGATTACAGTCAGAGAAAGAAGACCCATCTCTTATTTTGGGCCACATCTGTGTGGCAGTGAGATATCCATGAGGAAATTGAAGACCTCCCAGTCTTCATGGGTAATTGAGAGCCGTGGAGCAACATTGTAACACGAATTACGGATGCATCTAAATGATAATGATGATATGATGATGATGATTTTGTTTCTCTTTTTCTCTTTTTTTTATTTTGTTAAGTTGTAACATAAAGGTTGATATACATATAGCAAATTTAAAGAGAGGGTTGATTTAAAAGTTTATTTCTGGACTGAAATAACTGTAATAAATGGCCCGTGACGATAACGGCTTTCTCCCCAGTTTTTTAGACAAGAACGTACCACCTTTATCTTCAAGCCATACGACTTTTCGAGAACATGTGATTTAGTTAAAAAAAACACAAATAAGAAGTGTGAAGTGTCATAAATCACACATGTCAAAAATGAAATGTAAAGAAAATGCATTGTGACAACAATAACGACAATGATAACAATAATAATACTGTAATTGTAAGAGTTTATCCATAATAAATCAGCCTTAAGCTATACTAAGGCTGTCTGCCATGCCAAAAGTGATGTGAGTTGTCATATAACTGAATGTGCAGTGTATGTGGTAGTTCTGGATGAGTGTGTATTTACTGCGTATGGCCTCGAGTGCATGTACTCACTACTTACGCGTTTAGACGTACCATTTGCACTGTTTACCCAGTCTTGGTGATAACAATAGTTATTACGATAATAATTACAATAATGATAACGTTAATGAAAACAATGAGATCCAAAGGCATACCACAAAACTTTAACCTAATTACACTCCTGTAAAATATATAAGTTATAATTATGATAATGATATTAATAATTCATTATTATGTGGCACATACCATCAAATGAAAATACAAATTAAGAAATAAGATTTACAAATTGATTAATACATTTATAAAATTATGAACATGAAAGAGCTACTTATTATAAATAAGAGCATGCATTTTAAGGAAAGAAGATAAACTCGACTGTATTAAAAACTATAAACACATGTAAAAATGCCAAAAAGAAAAAGTTAATAAAAAATTCTTAAATTTCACCAAATTATTGCAGGTCTTACACAAGTAAGTAAAGTATTCCAGTAGGTCACTTCGTATACAGAGATACATCATTAAAGTGCTGGGTGTGTATTTGCCTACATTCAAAAAAGGCTTTCTCGTTCCATTGTGTTAAATTGGAGTCCCCGGCGTTGCTATAATTCTGTGCAACATTTGAAAAGATATTTGAAACAAAACACGATTGAATCAAAAGATTAAAGTGATAATGAACCCCTCCAAAAAATGATATACTGAAATTGCGAAATAGTTTATAACGCTGACAGCCGCCCTCGTACCCTTTTTCAGCATCTTGATATTAGCCATGATACTAAAAATTGAAAAATGCTTTGAATTCCTTATTTACTAAAAAGACACTGATGACTTCGACTGTTTTTGTTTACCTCTGCTAACTCCATATCTGTTAATATGAATATGCTTTTGTTAACGCTGTACGCTGTATCACACATGCACAAACACGTAACTCGTGTTCTCTCCATATCCAATAGAAACTATATACTATAATACAACAGTATATAATTGAATCCACTGTTTGCTGTGCGGAAATAATACAGATCGTATTTGTTTAATCTCTCATTCTAAATCGCATTTGTTTAATATCTATACTCTTCGTAACTTTGGGCCAGCTCATTTCCCATCGACAATCAATAAAGAAATAAGTGGACGCCAGTAGGCCTAATTATGTTACGGCTTAATAGACGGTAAATTAATATGTGTTATCTAAAATCTAATACTCTCTTTTAAGGGCATATTGTACGTAATCTTTAAATATTAAATCACTGTCTGATCTTCAACCCATCCTTATCGCCAACGCATAATACTTGCATTGGTTGACAAAAGACATTCTTTTCCCGAAAAACCTTTTGAAGGCTTATTTGTAAAAAGTAATTTAGAGTCCATACGTGTAGAAAGGTAACTAAATCACTTTTAACCCTCCGTGTTCTTTGTTTTCGATTCCATGAATTTCTCGTCTAATCCAACATGGGCTTTTCTTGCCTAACCACAGATCTGATTAACTATAGTATAGTGCGGAGTATTCACATAACGGATGTTCCACAAGTCTAACAATTTTCAGTACCCGGCCCCCCCCCCTCCCCACCGAAATTTCGCACGACAATAACGATATATTTTTGGGGTACAAATATAATTTGTATATACAGGTTTGGGGTATTACACACATACACTCAATTTTTATCAAGAGTTACCTCACATTTGGGTTTTCGCGCGCGTCTCGTTTTCACGAACTAAAACTGTTAAATAGCATAAGTAGGTCATATTACTGTCCAGTAGTTGGACTGTGCAAGAAGCAGAAGGGGGACCGCGCCTTCGGGTAGTTTTTTCGAACGTATTAGATACTATACGTCTAGTTACACAGATAATCACTGGAGATGGCTTTATGCCTTAGGAGATGGAAATCAGGAGTCTAAAACAAGGAAGTTGATTAATTTTGTGACGATGGGGGACGAACGTTTTGCACAATTGTGCGAAATAAATCCTTATGAGGAGTAAGAAGAGATTTAAAATCAATCGCACTTGTGCTGCGTTTATTTGATTATCTCTATTCTTAACTTTTTTTTTTCATTCGTGCAGTACATGAGATATCATATGCGCTTCCCGTCTAGTCGAGGTTCCACCACTTTATTGCTTTTCGTGCTTAGAGTTCTAACCGTAAATGGATGGCATTTGAAACTTCAGATGAAAAATCTAATAAAAAAGCGCTGAAAGATACAATTTGAAAGAATGGAATTAATGGTGAATATCTGTTACACCATCGTCTTTAACGTTACCATGCCCTATTGCTGCCTAATTCCAGCAGACACATGATGTCATGTTGACATATGACGTCATGTCTGTGGCGAAGCAAAATAGTGAAAATACAAATCTACCACATACTCGTTTTATCACTCATATTTTGTATTCCATTTTTATGGCAAACCAGTTGAAATATTTTTGTATCTCAAAAAAGATAAGACTGGGCTTTTAAAATTTCAGTTTTTCTTATCCAACGTTTACCACCAAATTTGAAAAGGGAAAAGAGAAGTTGATTTATTAGATAGAATAGTTACTAATATGGAATGAAAATTACTTTTCTGTAACATCTTCGAGTCTGGTCGCCGGCGTGTACGTTTTAATTGCTTTGTCCATCTATGCTCCTCGAGAAAACCATTTCTATTGATCAGAAGACACTTGAAATGGAATATTTCTTCCCATTGTTTAAGGTCAGTGTCTAATGGTCGTAATATGTCAAGTTAAACAGCACAGTGCCACACGATTGATCTCTTTTCTCGTTGAAGACGCTGTTCACGTATCTACGTCAACTTTAATCATTCCACGTGGGTTCTGTCCGGGCGTCATTCATCAATTGCCCGCTGTTTCAACAATTTTGTAATTTCGTGTCTTTTACTGTGTTAAGTGCACATAATAGTGATTCGGAAACATGTAGGCATAGAAGTGCCAACATCCCTTTCGATCGTTGAATTTTCAGCCTTCTTACTGTCGTTTCTCATTATGACATAAAAGTTCATCATGGCGTCCTGGTGATTTAAACGCGTTCTTCTTGTCATTTTGAGACCAAAGAACCATTATCCCAACACCCTCCCCATGAGTCTTTTATTCAATAATCGATTTTCCTGCTTTTTTTGTCCAGTTCTTCCTTTGAGTTGCAACTGACCGCGAGATGTGTAGTGATAGTGTTAATTGTAACTGCAGCCCCATATCTTTTAGGATTATAACGCATAATTAGGGTTAGAAATTGTACATTCCAGACTGGATTTATAATCTTTTATTGGGTGGATTAAAAAAAAGTCTCCCCGAATGATTATTTTTGATTCCCAGAAATTTTTCCAACATCATTAACCGAAATTTCACTAGATAGTGCTTCATTACCAAAACAGCATAAAACAGCTGTGCGGTTTTCAACGCATAAATGGTACTCCAATTACGAAATGCGGGAATTCAGCGTGGTAAAGTGGTGTCCCAGATAATGGTCATCTTCTACCCTCTCATATCAGGGCCCCCCAAAATAGTATACAAAATTACACTATGGGACATTTTTGTAACAGGTTACTAGCGCAGCCTGTGTTCAGAGGGCATTCATCTCTTATGCTTGCCATACTGCCACGGCCTCTAGGCAGTTGACAATTGTTTTAAAATCACGATGGGACAACACTCCATACCATTCGCGTAAAGTATGAAAGTACCTTGAGCTCATATGAACTCTCCAGCTGTTGGTAAACAAACACCAATTCAATACACCGGGGCCTATCTAACCCGCCAAGTATACAGCGGTGGGTTCCTAAATGATGGCAAATGAAATGGCGATATATATTTCATACTTTTTGGGATATGTGTCACTGCCAAAGATCGAGACGTGTATGAACAGACGTGCATTGTCATAATATAGAGGCTGAGAGCAGAACTTAACCGTACAATAGACAACCGAATGATCAGAGATCACGGGACTATGGTTTTTAAATCGGTTACCACAGAAATATTGCTTTCTATATAGTATTGACTTAAAACTTTGTTATACATAGCACCAGATAGCAATGAAAGGAATTTCATTGAATTATCATCAATGACCATTTGAGTCCTTAAACCTGTAAAATTTAACCTGTAGGCCTACACATTTAGTGCTCAATAAAGAATTATTATAAATACGCAAATTAAACTTTAAGTATATACAGAACACATTCATTACGCGTCAAAGAATGTTAAAACATTAAAAGCGTATACAACATCGGTCTAATTTGCAACCTGACAACAATTCAGTTTCGACGGCTGCCTGCGCTGGAGATTATAAGCCATGGTTGTAGTTCTTTTGCAAAGGGAGTTTGTTTTGTTAAACAGTTATGACGGTGTCATAGTTCAATTATAAATGGCACGGTGCAAACCCGGTAGATAGCCGCTTCATTTCTATAATTCTCACAACAAATTACTATCATTCCAACCCAAAGGAAGAGGTCGTCTTCTAAATGGTACCTGTATAGCTAGCGTTCTTAGATGCCCCACACCCTGTAGGCTTACTATACGCACACCGTTAAAGGTCTTTGCTCTGAACCTTAACAACACTTGTTGATGGATCTAATACACAGTTCCAGACAGAATAATACCTGTATCTTGGTGGAAAGTGGGTTATAAATAATTGGTTTACTGGAAATAGACAAAGGCTAGATATCCGTAGCTTCATCTTAAGCTCTAATGCATAATAATTATAATAATAAAAATAAAATACATTGTAGGCAGGCGTCGGTACTTCTGTTCGCCTCACTGTGACGGGAATATTATTAAACCAAATGTAATGACCCGCTTGCAAACAATCAAATTCTCTCTTCATTACGAGCGTTATTACAGCTCACCACGGAATGGAAATAAATTTCCATTCTATATTTTATACACAGCATGCGGTAGAGTGCATTTTGATAAGATTTAGCAC